ATCAATATAAAATGAAACAGTCAAATATATTTGATTATTATGTTCTACTGTCTTTCAATATAGGAAACAAATTCAAATTATAATTTATCTAATTAACAATGCAATAAAAGAGAGAACTATCAACAAATTTACATAGACAGATTTATATCTGAGTAAAATTTACAAATTTCCTAAAACAGAAGGAAACATTAAAAATCCTTAATAAAAATCAATTTGGATTTTCAAATTTTTAACATACTACAAAATAATGAGAGAGAAAGATTTTCAATTTAAAAAAAGGCATTGAAAACATTCATTTCATAAAAAGAGTAATATATTACTGTGACAACATAAATATTTAAAATCAATTTTAAAATATTTTACAATAGTGTAATTGTAGTTAATTTATTTAATATTTTAGATCCATTTAGCTTTTATTTTACTTAATAATTTTGTTTCAAATTACACATCAACATTCAATATTGTTATTTTCCATTAATCAACAAATAATTAATAATAATAAATACTTTTAAATAATTCAGTTTGTTTACTAATGGCTTTTCTTTCTTTTTTAATACAAATATAAAGTAAGATTGAACTGTAATCTAAATGAATAAATGAACTATGTTTTATTTTAATTGTTTCAACTTAAAATAATTCAAAAGTAATAAAGAAATTATTTATTGTGATATCGTCACAATGCTTGCCTGCAATTTTTAATTTATTTGATTTAAAATATATGCTCTCCACCTCAAATAATAGTGGCCTGCCCCCATACATCATACTTTTCCTTTAACATGAGCTGGTCATTGAAGCACTTTTCAGGGGAACATTTTTGAATTGAAACAACACGATTTCCGGTTTGTATCGGAAGTTCGTATATAGTTAATCGGGGTATCCCATCTAAACTTTCTATATCTGGTCTCATCTTTCATCTAACTAACTCCGTTCTTGAGATTAAGGAAAGACAGATGGATGGACGACAGTGGGAATTTATAAGTCTACAATTTTTTCACATTGCAGCCTGATAAAAATAATGGTTAAACATATACAAATTCTCATAAGTTCTTTATTTCTACATATTTATACGAGATGTAAATGATATGATTAAATAACATACAAACAACTGAAATAAAATTGTATTTTCTAATTTTAGAATTTTAATTTTATTTGTATTTTCTAATTTTCTAATTTTAATTTTATATGTATTTTCATTTATATTTAAACTAATTATAGTAATGAAATTACATTAATATAATTAGAATATTAAGCTTTTCAAGAATATGATAACTTTCAACAATTAAATTTTTCTTAAGCTTATTTATTTATCGGTATTCAAAATTTTTTATTAGACAATTTTATTTACCTTCACATAGGATTTATCTAATTCTATGGCCTTGGAAGCATCCGATAGAGCATAACCAAAACATTCCGTCTTTAAATAGGCAGCACTTCTATTTCCATAATATACAGCAACATTTGGATTAATATTAATGGCTTTTGAATACAGATCTATGGCTGCATCAAATTCTTTTTCTGAAATTTAAACGAGTTATAATGATTTATTTCAAATTAAAACTTTTTTCTTTCAATAAATTAATTTTAATAACTAGATAAAATTGATAGTATTTGATCACTACTTATACAACATTAATGAAGATTGTTGTAATGACTATATAACCTGCATTAATAGTGAACGTTTCATTCCTTTCTTTTGTTAAAGGGCATACATTTAAAAAATATGTACTGTATACATAAATACAATAAGTCCTCATTTAACGTCATTGATAGATTCTTGGAAACAGTGACTAAGTAAAACAACATATAATATGAAACCAATTTTACCATAGACTAAATGATATAAACAAGAGTTAAGCAAAAATATCAACAAAACTTCTAAATAAAACCAAAACACTTTAACATGAAAGACTGTAATAAACAAGAGCTATATATATCATATTAAGTATGATTATTTATCAAATTTTGGAAATCATTAAGAGGTTGTGATGGTGGTAGATGTTAGGGGAAAGAGATGGATAAAGCTGAATAATAAAGAATAAATGTTTGCAAAAAGAAAATTGTAAGGGGCACCTCCTCACCACCATATTGTTGAAAGCAAACAACTGGCAATACTGGCAAACTATAGTGGACACTGTATATATTTAAAATGGCAAATGCAAACAGGGCATGCTTGTTTACTTCAACATTAAATTATATCTTACATGTTGTTAATGTGGATATAGGTCCAGTTATTTGAAAAAAGTGGAAATATAACAAATTATATTAAATCAAATGTAAATATGTGTATTAGTTAATATTATTTTATTGGATTGTATTTGCAATGTCCTTGTAGAATCAATTTTACTATTTATAGAAGAAAATTCAACAATAATAATTATAAATAATTACAAATATACATTTGTAATTATTACTTGTATCTTTCCTAAACACTGTTAAGTAAGAACTTGCTGTATACAGTATTTATATATATATTAATATATTAAACCTTTCATCAAGAAGTCAAATAATATCTAATGATTTTAAAATCAAACCTTTTTTTATATTTTTATTATTTAATGTTATTGTTGAAAAATGTTATCGGTATTGGATAATGTTACTTAATGTTCCATAATTTGTTTTTTGATTATATTGTAAAATGATATCCTAAAATAGCAGACAATAAAACCCATTTACTCTAATCAATAAGTTATTTGACTACACTGATAGCAATATCCATGGTTAAAATAAGTGAATTTTTTGTTGTGTTGTATTCTGCAGTCCTTCCTAAAATAAATTGATTATAACTGCTACCTGAAAAATCTTTATAGCTTAAGAAATACAAGAAAGAATCATTAAATCAAGTATATTAGGATGTTACATTTATTTTAAATAAATATAAAATCAATGTAAATGTTTGATTCTTTTGTGTTTTAGTTATTTTAGATTATAATATTACTGAACCATAGGCATTTTATTTGTTTCTTATAACAAACGCAATAAAGAATCATCACAAATGAAGCTTTCAAGTTATTGAGAAAAACTGCTCTTTGGATTAGTTTTTTAATTTGAACATCAAAAGTTGAATCAGAGTCAAAAGCAAGTTTATATGCATGTCAAACCAGGTGCATGTAAGAAAAAAAAAAAAAACTCATAAAAATAAGAAATTTAAAGCCAAGATACATACACAAAAATACTCCCAAAACTGTCAATTTATACAGATATTTTCTTTGAATTAATTGATGTAATGAGCAAATTCATGTTTCCAAATGAATGTAAAATTTCTCATAAGTAGATCTTGATAATTTCCTCAGTATTTAGAATTTTAGTTTATTCATAACATCACATTATGTAGACTGATGGTAGAAAAAAAATTTTAAAAATGGAAAGTTTTGTTTAGAAATATTTTTATGCTCTATAAGGATGAGAATCAAAAAACAGACCAAAGAATAATTTCTTCACAGTCTAAACTGATTTTTAACATTTTAAACCACAATAATATAAAATCCAAAACAACAGCACCGAAAAGTGGATACAATATTCTCACGCATATGCATAGAACCTTATTTGATATCAAATAATATTTCATTTTGTATTGAATTTCACAAACATTTCCCATTTTCAAAATTTCTACTCACCAGTCTACAATTCTACAAGTTGCTATAACTTGTCCATTGAGAATCACAATAGTTCAGCAACGAACGTAATTCATCTCCATTATATTATCTCGTTCCCTACGTTGAATTGTTCAAAGCAGGGTCAATTGAAGACAGCTTGGAAAAATTACAAAAGCAATTTTAATAAATCAATAATACAGTGTGTTTACTCCTTGTAAAAAAATATAAATAAAAAAAATAGAGTAGAAATTAAGCTTTTATAGTAAAAAAAAAAATTTGAATTATAATTGTGAGTAAGAGTTACTTTTAGTTAATTTATCCATATATAACATATAGGCAGTTGACCTAAAAGTAACTTCTACCTGATTGTGTTTGCCTTAAGACAATGTAGATGCATAGACATCGGAAGAAATTCAAGGTAAAGATACTAACATAAAATACGACTAACAATCCCTAATTATTGAATAAATATCCTGTTTTATGCATAGAAAAATCATATTAAAGTCAAATTAGGATTTAATAACATTTTTTCTCATTCAAAACTTTATGTTTATAAACATAAAAGTTTACTTGCTTTTAAAATGTTCGTTTGCCTTTTCTTTAATGTCTTCCGCTTGTTTTTTAGCCTCTTCGGTAACTTCATTCTTAACTATTTCACCTTCTTCGGACGAATAATTCATCTTCTGAATATTAACATCTTCGCCAAGATCCGCCATCTTGGCAAGTATGACCGATTCCTATTGACCCTAACATGATTAAGTGATTAGCGTATTTCAAAACTTGTTTAATTATCTATTTTTAATAGGGAAAATTTATTTTAGAAAAATATACCTATTGTTTTTCTATTTTAATTATTTTTAAATTATGTAAATATTATAATTATTGAAAAATAGTATACTTTTTTTTTTTAATTTAATAAAGTTCGCCGGATGGGCGCGCGGTAGTTTTACTCTTGTATTGAGGAGTCCGAGTTCGTATCCAGTTCGGTCTGTGGTGATTTTTTTCGTATTTATTCGAGTCTGAAATTTGTTTCTCGTCATTCATTCATGCTGGCCGATTCTCTTGCGGACAAAGCCACATTTAATTAAAAACGTAGACACAACACATTATAAGATGTCCAGCAATACGAAGCCGGATAGAAATATACAGTAATTATAATTATGATAATGTTTTTTATAAAAAAATTAATTTGCTGAAAATAATTTTTGTCACAGGATTAGTAATTGTTTAATATTAATCCTAATGTGAAGTATCCTCGGGAAAGGAATGATGTTTTTATTCTTGTTTATTCTATTTTATGGTCCGGTTTTGACAGGCTCGTCGGTTCTTCCTTTCTTTTTATCCGCGATTTTGTTGGTAATGTACGTACATTATTACTCACCGAACGAAAAATTATTTCTACTTTATCATTTGAAACGTATTGTGGAACAGAACATTTTAAATGTGATAGAAATAATTAAAATATAAGCGCCCTAAAATCACGGAACGATGTGCTAATGTAAGATAATTCAGGCGCAGTACAATAATATATTTTCCTACTGTACAGTATATTTTAAAAATTAATTTTAAAATTTAAAAAAGGTAAATTTTATTTTAAAATCTCGTATGGTATATTACAATTATTTTAATTAAAATAATTCTGTAAAACCGAGCGTTCGTTTCTACTGTTATAAAATAGATCATAACGACCGAGGCCGGATGACCGAGTGGTCAAGGTGGAAGCCTACCGCTCTGGGGGATGCGGGATGAAATCCGGACTGGTCGAAAAATCCTCTGGAATTTTTCGGGGGGTTGTCCGACCGGATATGTCGGATCCCGTCCCTCATCACCCGGCTGCCCCATTTTGGGTCTGGCCGAATCCATAATGGGCTTGATAAAAGTGAGCCTCTTAGTGTCCACAGGACGAAAAAAGGCCGGATGGCCGAGCGGCCAAGGTGGCACTCTACCGCTCTGGGGAACCCGGGATCGAATACGGACGGGTCAAGGAATCCCCAGAAATTTTCAGGGGGTGGTCTGTTCGAATATGTCGGGCCCCGTCCCTCACCACCCGGTCGCCCCATTGTGGGCCTGGCCGAACCCATAATGGGCCTGCTATAAGAGGCCCTCTTAGTGCCCACAGGGCGGAAAGAGTAAATAAATAAAAAAACGGCGAAAAACGCAAAAAGAAAATAAACCATTTCGATAAACTTTAAACAGCAAATATACATCATTTAAGTTAAAAAAAATAACACGACTAAATGCCCTAATAATAAATTAACCATCTTAATATTTATTCTTATTTTTTGCACGGGCAAAGCCGGGCTTATCTGCCTTTTTTTTTTTTTTTAACTCTTTCCGCTCTGTGGGCACTAAGAAGGCCCCATTTAGCAAGCTCTTATGGGTTCGGCCTGGCCCGCAATAGGGTAAGGGACGGAGCCCGACATACCCGAACGGACTATCCCCGAAAAATTCCTGAAGATTTTTTCGACCCCGGGTCCTCCCAGGGCGGCAGGCTGCAAACTTTGACAGCTCGGGCTTACCTACTAGTACTACTACAGTTTGATAGTACGATTGGGTTTGGTATTATGTCTGGCCACGTTGTATAGTTTACATTTTGATATAAAAGATTTTCACACCAGATAAGTAAAACATAATAATTTATTTCGTGATAAAGCATAACGATAAAAAATAATTAATCGTGAATTTATTATGTTAATTTCACAAATAATTTTTATATCAATTTGTAATGAATATTTCATTTGGAAAACTCAATTCCAAAATGCCAGTCATTTATATTCCACTAATACAAATAATTTAAACTTTTAAAAATACGAATTATTGCATTTCTGTGATGATATTTCAAATTCGTAAAACGTTTGGAATGAAAAAAAAAAAAAATTATTATTTATATAGCAAATTACATCAACTAAAAAGTTATTAATTAATTAATTGTTATAGATTTGATAAAATTAAAAGAGTGACGAAGAATTATATATAAAGAAAGAAAAAAAGATTGTATAGAGTGAGTGACAAATGACAGAGTAATAAATGTCTGAGAAACACTACAAATAGCACACGTCACAGGAAGTGATGAATTTTACAACGATAAGCATATGCTATCTTACTTCTTTAGTGTACATTTCTAATTTAATTATTTCTAATTGCAGAAAAGTTATCGATTAACTTTTTCAACATATTCATTTAGCAAAAAATTGAAGTTTTAAATTAAAAAGAACGTTTAAAATTTACATAAATCTAATCATATAAAAATACATTTTTTATAAAATATTTTATTTATAACTCCTCTATTATTTAAATAAAAGAAAATTAACAACTCGTATGGATTAAAAAAATTATATACATACATAAACTAAAAATTTCATTAAAAATATCAGTAAAAAAATCATCATGCATATACACACACTAAATAAGGAAAGTACTCCTGCACTGGCAACGTACAGGTACGACCCTTAAACATTGGAGGAAAGCTCGGCACGCATAGGGTTTAACCACATAAATTCGTTTAACTCCATTGTTTCGAATTCCGTTTTGTATGGATATAAAATAAAGTGAAATGTATTTTCCAAACTTTTAAATTAATTAAATCTCTTCTCAAAAGCTTGTTTTATTTCCTGTATAATTATTAAATATTTTTCAATTGCATTTTCTTGAATTTCAAGTGTATTTTCAAAAATTGTGTTTTGAAAATGTTTTTATAATTGAGGAAAATATTTCATGATTTTCATTTCCAAATCCTTAGTAAAGATGTCAAGTTTCGTCACAAATATTTTAATATTTTCAAATATCATTAAAACAATTTGTCCATTTCCTTAAAGTTTTTTATTCAGTTCATTAAAATGCTGAGTGATGCCCCCGCATAAGAACATTAAATCATTTAACCAATCTATATTTGAAAATTCGTCTTTTTCATTCAAAAAGAGCTTAATTTCTTCTAATGAAATGACAAACCGAATAAGAACTTGACCGCAACTGAGCCATTGAACATTGTTGTATGTCAAAATCCCCGAATACTGGCACTCAATTTCCTCTAATAATTGTGCAAATTTTCATTTATTAAGACATCTTGCATTTATAAAGTTGATGACTTTTATTACAACTGGCATTACAAAATTGGAAAATGTTTTTAAACCTTGCTTTGCACATAGAACTTGCTGGTATATTATACAATGAAATTAAATCAGAGAATGTGTAATATTTTGCTTAAGATACTGAATAAAACCAATTTTTTCCCCACCATATCAGGTACACCGTCTGTTGTTACAGAAACAATTTTCTGTAAGTCAATATCCATTTCTTTAAATGCAATATCAAATTCTTTAAAAATATCAAGACCGGTACACTTCCTTTTCAAACGTTATTAGTTTCATTAGCTCTTCTTTCATTATATTGCCTGATTTATATCGAGCAAAAACTGTTAATTGTGCATAACCATTTACATCATTACTTTCATCTAAAGCAATTGAATACATTTCTGCATAATTTAAGTCGTTATGTATTTGCAAAAAAATATTTCTTTCTAATTCTACTACTCGATCTTTAATTGTATTGCAACTTATTTATTGGTAACTCATTTATACGCTTTATAATCAAGTGTCTTTCTTTAAAATCTGCAAACAAAGTAGCACTACATTTTAAAAATGCTTGTTTTACAAACTGTCCTTCTGAAAGAGGTTTCCCTTGGTGAGCAATGCAATGGGCAACTTGAAAACTAGCAGCTGTAATGTTATTTTTTGGAATCAAAAAAGTTCTAAAACACTGGTTTGTGAATAATTCTCTTTTTTCTTTTGTAAAAAATATGTTTTTTCCTCATCTGTTGAAAGGCTGAGATTAGAATGCAACTTTTCAAAATGTCTTTTTACATTGTATGTACTGTACATGAAATGACTTTTTCGTTACAAATTACACACAAAGTCGTTTTATTCTTTTCAATGATACCATATTTATCAAACAATTCTGTTTGATATGGTCTGGAACTTGTATTATTTTGCGTGGGTCATTCATTTAAAAAGCCTGTGTGGATCAGTGTCTGACCCGCAGGTCATAGGTTCGCCACCACTGGCCTAGGCTATGGTTAAATTTTGATATAATAATGAAAATAAATTTAACAGATCTTATTTATCTATAAAATTATAAAAAAATCATTAAAGATTAAATATAATTGGAAAGATCAGATCTATATTTTTAATATTACATTGAAAACTGACTATTTGTGTTTTAAAACTTTGGATTTTATTTCCACTTTCATAAGAAAAATAATTTAAAATATGAGATGACACTTTCTTAAAATTAATGATTTACATACAATACTTTGAAGGCTCATGATGAGTAAGTCCCTTTACATAAGTATCCTGTGACAACAATCATTCAAACTGTATAATGCTAAAACTTGGCACCTAAACAAAATTTAAAATATATTTAGGTTTAAAAAGTAAATAGAAAATAAAAAAATTAATAAAAAAAAAATCATCATCTTACTTCTTTTCAAACTTTAACTCGCGAATTTGGTCCAATATTTTTATTAAATATTTCTTTTCTCTAGTGTGTCTATAAATTTAAAGTTTCAATAAATACATAAAAATAACTGAAATGAAATCTCAAATGACTTTTCCACTTACTTTTCAATAATTTCAGCCACACTGTTGTCAAATGCATTTTCATTTTCCATCTGAAATATATTGTATAATATTAAAGATACAATAAATAATGTATTTAACAAAAACTTTGTTCTCATTTTAACAATGCTAGCAACTATGGTAGTATAGAAGTGTTTCCAATTCTTATATACTGTACTATTTTGACTACAAGAATAGGGATTTGCAAGTTTAATGTTGAACATTAACTACTTTAACTTGCAAATCCTTTGGAGCAAAACCAATGAAACAACAAACTATTGTAACCCATGTCGATGAGCACTGAATCTATATTATTCAGTGATGAACCGTTTTCTGAAGATGGTCAAAACTCGAATTTGAAATTTAATAACTCCAAATCGCAGGTCACACATTTAAATAATAAATAATATATAAATAAATAAGAACAATAATAATAAACTCTATATAAGGGAAAAGAAAAGTTTGGTATTACATCATTACGAAATTGTGATGGCACAATTTCTTTTACAAGGCAAATGAATGCATTCTTTGATGCATTAAATGCAAAACTGCCCGAGAGCTACACTGAATCACCAAAACTGCAGGTATATTACTGATAAATGAAAACTTATAACTATAGATTTAGTGCAGCTTATTTAAATATATTTAAATTTGTTGAGCTGTTAAAAGACACCCTTTCTTGGCTTGATGCATGGGAATAGCAATCAACTATAGCAGACAATGGTCCAAAGCCATTCTTCCTCATGCAAGTCACTAGTGAAGTGATTTGTATAACCCTGCACAATTTCATGAACATTATCAAAGGTCTGTTGTTGCCTGGTTTTTCTTATGTGTTGACAAGGAAAAGTAACCAAAACCATCAGAGGTAAATGAATCTCACTGCTAATTTACATTTTATAAAGTTTACTAAAATTAAACTTTTGTAATTACACTTTCAGATGCTATGTTCAGCATGTGGTGACAATGATCATTCTACATCAGAACAGTTCCTACATTTGTACAGACTACAATCCTTATATAGTTTGGTAAAAACCACAAAAAAGAGGAAATGTATCCTGTGCATCTCCAAGTGATCTACTTCTGAAGTAGCTAAAGAGGAATGGTGGAAGCATTAAACAGGAGCAATTAATGGAATTACAGGATGCTGTGTCCTCAGTTCTGTCAACTGACAGCTTTGATGGAGTCAATAATAGGGTAAATCAGATCATTCCGACTATATTCAGTATAGTGTAGATGATGCCATTGTATATTTTCTAGGAGACTATGTTGCATATACATGTGAAAATTCCTGCAGTAATTGCAGTCATTCTCTCTTATCTGAGCAGAAGGAATCAAGAGAGAAAACTGCAGGGCTTAACATAACCAAAAGCCATAGAAGACTACTACATCCTTCCAAACAGCTGCTGCATTTACTATGTTTATGTGAAAAACATATTTCTCAGCATGTGGAAGATAAGAAATTTGTTGTTGTTAGAATATTTGATGATATTGTAACAGATAGCAATTTGGCCTTAATCACTTTAAGATGTAAAGATCATTATGTACAATTAATTTTGCATACAATTAAGTTTTATGTAACCACAAGAATTCATTTTTTCACAAGAGAAGATAATAAGTTATAAGTAACAGTGGCCAATAAAAATGCTAGAAAACTAAGCAGTAAAGTAACTAATAGAATAAACTTTTATACTGAGGAACTTTTAATTTTCATTAATGTTTTCAACTCCACAAATCATCATCAAATGGATCAATATTTGAATATCAAAGAAAATTAAAAATATGAAGGTTTACAATAGAATAACTTACAACATAATTATGTTACCATACAAATAAAATAAAATAAAAACAAAAGAATGTGATATTTTGTGTTAATAAGAAATCAATCATTGAATATAGATATGTCTCATATTTATTATTGTTTTGGTAATATCATGTAATAAAAATGCAAACACAGATGCATTAATTTCTTTTTATTTTATGCCCTTTAAAAACTATCTCATGTATCTGATTTTTGTAATAAACTATATTTGCAAAATTATTAAACATTTATTTGATCTGTATAGTAATTCTACAATATTCATTATATGAAATAAAATTAAAAACATATATTCATTTAGAAAAAAAAAAGTTAAATTACCTCAATATGAGAAACAATAGTCTTTATAATAGCAATTGAAAGTTCCACAGCTAAAACTTCAACACTAGTCCTACTTGAAAAACACTGAAGTATTGTTGATAACTGTGACATAATCTAATATAAATAAATATTAAAAAGTAATAAATTAAGCAATTTCAATTTTTGTTTAAAAAATTTAAACTAGTAAAACTAACCTGAATCTCAAAGCGCTTTTTAACATTAAATGTAATTTTTTCCTTTGGTAAAAATGAAATTCTAGTTTGAGACCCAGAAAAGTTATCAGAACTGTTACTTCTTCCAATTTCATTTTTAAAATTCTCAGTTTGTTCACTACTTTAAATAACATATTAATGCTATGTTTGCTTTAATTTCCTTTTAAATAAAACTAAATTTCTTACCATTTGCTTGCAGTATGTTTTGATATATAATCCACTAATTCATATAAAGATAACTTCTTTTCGGAAAATTTATCTTTATCAAACGTTCGTATCTATTTTTAAAAAGTGATTGATACAAATAAGATGGGAAAAAATAAAAATTTTATAAAAAAATCATTAAAGATTAAATATAATTGGAAAGATCAGATCTATATTTTTAATATTACATTGAAAACTGACTATTTGTGTTTTTTAACTTTNAGAAATATACAGTAATTATAATTATGATAATGTTTTATTATAAAAAAATTAATTTGCTGAAAATAATTTTTGTCACAGGATTAGTAATTGTTTAATATTAATCCTAATGTGAAGTATCCTCGGGAAAGGAATGATGTTTTTATTCTTGTTTATTCTATTTTATGGTCCGGTTTTGACAGGCTCGTCGGTTCTTCCTTTCTTTTTATCCGCGATTTTGTTGGTAATGTACGTACATTATTACTCACCGAACGAAAAATTATTTCTACTTTATCATTTGAAACGTATTGTGGAACAGAACATTTTAAATGTGATAGAAATAATTAAAATATAAGCGCCCTAAAATCACGGAACGATGTGCTAATGTAAGATAATTCACGCGCAGTACAATAATATATTTTCCTACTGTACAGTATATTTTAAAAATTAATATTAAAATTTAAAAAAGGTAAATTTTATTTTAAAATCTCGTATGGTATATTACAATTATTTTAATTAAAATAATTCTGTAAAACCGAGCGTTCGTTTCTACTGTTATAAAATAGATCATAACGACCGAGGCCGGATGACCGAGTGGTCAAGGTGGAAGCCTACCGCTCTGGGGGATGCGGGATGAAATCCGGACTGGTCGAAAAATCCTCTGGAATTTTTCGGAGGGTTGTCCGACCGGATATGTCGGATCCCGTCCCTCATCACCCGGCTGCCCCATTTTGGGTCTGGCCGAATCCATAATGGGCTTGATAAAAGTGAGCCTCTTAGTGTCCACAGGACGAAAAAAGGCCGGATGGCCGAGCGGCCAAGGTGGCACTCTACCGCTCTGGGGAACCCGGGATCGAATACGGACGGGTCAAGGAATCCCCAGAAATTTTCAGGGGGTGGTCTGTTCGAATATGTCGGGCCCCGTCCCTCACCACCCGGTCGCCCCATTGTGGGCCTGGCCGAACCCATAATGGGCCTGCTATAAGAGGCCCTCTTAGTGCCCACAGGGCGGAAAGAGTAAATAAATAAAAAAACGGCGAAAAACGCAAAAAGAAAATAAACCATTTCGATAAACTTTAAACAGCAAATATACATCATTTAAGTTAAAAAAAATAACACGACTAAATGCCCTAATAATAAATTAACCATCTTAATATTTATTCTTATTTTTTGCACGGGCAAAGCCGGGCTTATCTGCCTTTTTTTTTTTTTTTTAACTCTTTCCGCTCTGTGGGCACTAAGAAGGCCCCATTTAGCAAGCTCTTATGGGTTCGGCCTGGCCCGCAATAGGGTAAGGGACGGAGCCCGACATACCCGAACGGACTATCCCCGAAAAATTCCTGAAGATTTTTTCGACCCCGGGTCCTCCCAGGGCGGCAGGCTGCAAACTTTGACAGCTCGGGCTTACCTACTAGTACTACTACAGTTTGATAGTACGATTGGGTTTGGTATTATGTCTGGCCACGTTGTATAGTTTACATTTTGATATAAAAGATTTTCACACCAGATAAGTAAAACATAATAATTTATTTCGTGATAAAGCATAACGATAAAAAATAATTAATCGTGAATTTATTATGTTAATTTCACAAATAATTTTTATATCAATTTGTAATGAATATTTCATTTGGAAAACTCAATTCCAAAATGCCAGTCATTTATATTCCACTAATACAAATAATTTAAACTTTTAAAAATACGAATTATTGCATTTCTGTGATGATATTTCAAATTCGTAAAACGTTTGGAATGAAAATAAAAAAAAAATTATTATTTATATAGCAAATTACATCAACTAAAAAGTTATTAATTAATTAATTGTTATAGATTTGATAAAATTAAAAGAGTGACGAAGAATTATATATAAAGAAAGAAAAAAAGATTGTATAGAGTGAGTGACAAATGACAGAGTAATAAATGTCTGAGAAACACTACAAATAGCACACGTCACAGGAAGTGATGAATTTTATAACGATAAGCATATGCTATCTTACTTCTTTAGTGTACATTTCTAATTTAATTATTTCTAATTGCAGAAAAGTTATCGATTAACTTTTTCAACATATTCATTTAGCAAAAAATTGAAGTTTTAAATTAAAAAGAACGTTTAAAATTTACATAAATCTAATCATATAAAAATACATTTTTTATAAAATATTTTATTTATAACTCCTCTATTATTTAAATAAAAGAAAATTAACAACTCGTATGGATTAAAAAAATTATATACATACATAAACTAAAAATTTCATTAAAAATATCAGTAAAAAAATCATCATGCATATACACACACTAAATAAGGAAAGTACTCCTGCACTGGC